GAGTGTAAAGGAAAGGTATCCTGAGAATTTCATTACCGAGTCATACTGATGCTGGTGAGAGCCAGATTCCCCTGTTCTTGCTCTGACTTACTTGTAGATGCAGCTCAATGGTGCGGGGGTGGATTGAGGAGCTACAGGTTTGCATTCCCTATGGAGCACAGATCTGCAGCGACCAGTTTCTAAGTGAATACCTGGACAAAGAGCCCATAGAGGAGAATAAGTGTGCAGTAGTGGTCCATCTATTATGTGTGAAAAGGCTGAATTCAATGGTCGTGGAGCTCCTGTAACAGCCAGGGAGTCCCTCTGTTGCCCAAGGGAGTGTGTCTCTCCTCCTTAGCTTCTGGCCGAGTAGGGTTGTATGTACATGGAGTTGTCTCTCAGTTCCTACTCGGGCAAAACTCCCGTGGATGGGTGAGAGTGCTTTGCATGCTAAAGCTTTGGTTTACTTGTCAGTAATAATAATAATAATGATGATGATGGTGATAATAATAAATTTATTATTATTATTATTACTATTATTATTATTATGTTTTTATATCTCTTGTACTCTTATAGTTTTATTTGGTTTTATTTTTCCCCTGCACGGAGAACATGCTAAATGCATTACTCTGTCATTTCTATGTAAATTCTGTGCGCTTATTAATTTTTGTTCTTTTCACTTTCCTCCTTGCCTGACTATGTAAGCGCTCTCTCATGCATTCTGTCTATTCTGTGTGCTGCATGAAATACTGAAAAGGGACTTGGCAATGTTGGGTAACAGAAATTTCAGTCACCCCTTGGTAGCAGAAACTCTGTCTGGGTTTTACCTGGGTTTAGATCTTTCTGCATTTTGCTGTTTGACAGAAAATGTGTAATTGCCATGGCAACTGCTCTGTCATATGATAATTGTGCTGTTTCTGTGAGATAAAAAGCACTTTCTGAAATATACAATATGCCAGCCTCACAGGACAAAGTTTTCAGCATTTTTACTGTCTTTCCAGGGATAAAGAGTATGTTGGAAAGAGTATGAGCCTCTGCTTCTCCCTGTCAATTTTTTTTCCTCCAGGTTGCTATTATTTAAAAATGGTTTTTATAGGAATTGTTTTTCTAGTTCTGTTACTGAGAAGAATTGCAGTCCAATTGCTTTATACATGAAAACAGCAGAGGAAACTCAAGTGGCAACAGAATTCTCAATGGTGATTCCATTCTATAATGTAGATTGGACTGTGGGTCAGTGCCCGTATCATGTTAAAGCATCATCCCAGAGCTTGGAAAGGTTGGAAGACATGTTCCAATTCAGTTCTCACCTGGTTCAGCTATGACTGTGTGGGGACCATAGGTGGGGAGATGATATGATATCCACCTTAGAGGATATAGCTCTGCGTGCTGTATCATAGTTTGTGAAGCAGCCAAAATCCTTATTGCATCATTATTGGTAAAACTTGCAGAAGAGGAGCTCTGGGCCAGAAAACACAGGAGGGTCCCTCAGAGAAGGGGTGTTTGTGGCATGACAGATTTTTATTGCCTCTGGGATCTATAGAGCCTGAAATCCACAGGGAAAAAACCCTCAACTTGGTAGGTGGCTGTTCAGTCTGCCCTGCTCCTTGCCCCACCATCTGGACCTTATTATGGTAACTGTTCATTTTTGGAGACCTATGTTGCACTTTCATAAGTAAAGCAAGTGTTTTCTCTGACAGTTGTCTTTTAGCCCCTCATTCACACATGCATACGTATAATACTAGAAAAGTGGATAGAATCATGTCTGTTGAAGAAAAACCTTGAACAAACCATGACTTTGTTACAGCTAAGAACTGGGTTTGTTGGCAGAACCATTGCATTGTATCAACTTGTTCTGCGTCTGTTCTCATGAGTGTGGTTGGTCCTGTGCTCTCTATATGAATTAGGGATAGAAAATAATGTGACTAGATGACCAGGAAAAAACATCTTTAGTTAAGGCAAAGCAACTACTTTTTTGTCTCATCTTCCTTTGCATTGAGTCTAATTGTAGTTAAAGTACAGAGGTAGAGACCCCAGCCTTCGCTTTCTGTGAATAACAATTTGTGAGCACTGGTAACCTGTTACCATTCTCTTACTATTTTAAAAATATTATTTGAATTAATATAGTGCAACCACTGTACCTTTTGAAGGTAGAACATAGAAGTGGTTTATTGCTATTTATGATTATTCCTTACTTAACTGGTGTCAGAATTGGGGTTTTTTGGTGCATGAAAGTATTTCCTTGCTCATGAAGCGTAGTTCTTGAGCAGAGATCTAAAACTGCCCGCGTGTGATTTAAATTAGCATTATTTCATTATACAACATTTAAGCCTCCCATTTGATCCAGTGTTGATATATTTCCTGTAAAATGAAAATATGCAAGATTTTTAAAGCTGTATAAATGGGGAAAAAATAAAATTACCCCCCCCCAAATTCTGTTCTGCATCTACTTCCTCTCTGTCCATCAATTTAAGATTGATCCTCCAGTTGCTTATGCATATGCTTAATCTTAGACATATGAGTGGATTTACTGAATTCCAAAGGAGTTTCTGGCTGAGGTCTCAGGTTGTAAGTTCTGGTCCGGTCCAGGGATGTACCCTTCTATAAATCTACCTAATATGTATAGCATACTGTAAGGCCCAACATCAGCAACAACATTAATAATAAATAACGAATGCATCTACACTCCTGCTAAGCATTTTAAGCAAATAAAGCTTTACTTTAAGGAACTTACAACAAAGGTAAATACCAATAGGATACCAGAGTTTTGCTTGAGATAAATGCTAAAGGCCATAGATCAGGTGTGTACTAGTATGTTTTTCAGATAAGATGAATTTCTTTGTTCTGTTTTTGGAAAACACTTGGCACAGTAAGATCACGAGTATTCCTGCATCCTCTTTTACAATAAAAATCGTTGTATGGGATGATGTGTGGCAGAGGAGTGAAGATTGTACCACCGTTATTTAATTGCAATTGCATCACATCTACATTGCTAAACCAGTTACTAAGAATGTACTTTCTCCATCCTTTACACAGTAGTGTCCTTATCTTACCCTTACAGTGCCTTCCCACGTTTGCTGCCTTCTGCGAACATCTCCCCTTCCTTACATATTCCTTTCCTCCACCAGACGCTGAAGGATGCCAGTGACAATGCCCGCAAGGACTTCCACCGTGAGGCAGAGCTGCTGACTAACCTGCAACATGAGCACATCGTCAAGTTCTATGGTGTCTGTGTCGAGGGTGATCCACTCATCATGGTCTTTGAGTATATGAAGAATGGAGATCTTAACAAATTCCTCAGGTAAATCCACCAACATGTTGTGCTGGAAAGTCAGAAGTGGGCAGAGAAGGTAGGCATTGCTGGTACTTAATGGCAAATTAACTGCTCTCACTGAAAAATGCAGACACCTAAGAGTGAAAACCTGTGCAACACTCTGCTGATTCATCTTGTGTACTGTGATGTGGGGTTTATTGTTTCTTTACCTATTTGGAAGTACTAGTAAGTTAATCCTTACACTTTCCGCCAAAAGAATGGGAACCAAAGGAAAAGTGTTTTCAGTATATTTCAGTATATTCTGAAATGTTTGTTTATAAAACTTGCGGTAGTGATTGTTTCCTTGCCTCTTTTCTGCTAGCACTTGGGAAGAACCCACTCAGCACCTATCTCTACCTGTAGGTGTCTAAAAGCTTTTGAGAATCTACTTTCCCTCCTCTCAGTGTTTTGAAAGGGTACCATTACTCTGCAGCAAGAAAACTTTGAGCCTTGGAAACTTCAGTGCAATGGAAATTACTGCTTCTTGGGGGCTAGTTTAGGGCTTTTTTTTAAAGGCTCTTCAGGAATTGAAATTTGGTAGTGAAGCAGTCATAAATAAATAGGTGATACATAAGGTTCACAAGAATAGATAACTCATAAACCAGTAAGTTATGTCCAGTGGCCTTGTGCATGTACAATTTCTTCTAGCCTGCACTTGTTAACATAAAAATAAAGAGTTAAGAGACAACGTTAGCACCTACATAAAAAACATTTGCATAAGGGACTGTTCATTCAAGGCCTCCTATGTCGATTCCGTCAAAGGATATGTGCTGGTTTTGGCTGGGATAGAGTTAATTTTCTTCATAGTAGCTAGTATGAGGCTATGTTTTGGATTTGTGCTGAAAACGGTGTTGATAACACAGGGATGTTTTAGTTAGTACTGAGCAGTGCTTACACAGAGTCAAGGCCTTTTCTGCTTCTCACACCGCCCCTTGTGAACAAGAGACGGAGAGGGGAGTGTGGTGGGGGGGTGCTGCTCAGGAACTGGCTGGCTATGGGTCGGTTGGTGGTGAGCAATTGTTTTCATTTGCATCACTTGTCTTTCCTGGGTTTTATTTCTCTCTCTTTGTTATTTTCCTTTTCATTACAAATTATCATTATTGTTATTATTATTATTACTATCATCATTTCATTGGATTGCATTTCAATTATTAAACTGTTTTTATCTCAACCCATGAGTTTTCTCATTTTTACCCTTCCGATTCTCTCTCCATCCCACTGTGGGGGAGTGAGCAAGTGGCTGTGTGGTGCTTAGTTGCTGGCTGGGGTTAAACCACGACAGGGTATCACAAAGGCATTTCAGTGTCCTGAGATCTCTTCTGTCTAAGGATAACTAGGGGACACCACCATGTTGGAAAGATATCTGTGTAATGCATGCTACTGACAAAGCTGTAAAGCAATCAAACTAATGTCCCTTTAAATGGGTTTGGATTTTGTATCTGACTGAAATTGCTAGTGACTGGTAGTGTCGCCATTTTTGATAGCCTTATGAAATGAATTTGCTGTCCTTCTAACCTCCAGTGAACAAATAACCACATCAGAAAAGCAAAAGGGATCAGCTAGCATCCTCCCTTATTGGCAGAGCTGGCAGGGTTGATGGGGAGAGCAGGGGCTGAATTGAGGATGCAGAGCAAACACTACTTTTCCTGGGATGATTCTCTCTCTGGCAGAGGATTTAAGTATATTGTCAGGGCAACATTGGGACATTTGCATTTACCTCCTTAGACCTCTGCTGTGGATCAGAAGAGAGCTTCAGTTTGCTTTTTCAGAGTACCAAATTTCCATTAGAACAAGCCAAATTTGCAGCTGATTCATTGTCATCATGATAAATGCTTATTCTTTGGTTCTTTTTGATTGGCCTTTTCTTATCTCCTAACTCTGGTTTCGAATTGTTGTACAGAAAGGTAGTTTAGCAGACAGTATATTTCCTATGCTAGCTCTTCTTTTTTTAAATTATTAATCAGCCCTTGTCTTTACAATGTAAAATGATTATAGTGGGATAAACTGTTTAACCTAAGCTCCAATTTGTTATTCCTATCACATTTGCCGTAGCTTGTGCTGCAGATCAGAGGTTAATTGCAAACAGGCTGTAAAAACCTGTATTTCTTACCCTGCAGCGCCACCAAAGGCTGTCAGGGAAAAATGAATCTGAAATTTAACCCAAAGGTGCTTGCTGCCTGTGTGCAGCCAAAGGCTGTTTCAGATCTAGGACTACAGCCTCAAAGTTATGCCTGCTTTGTGCTTGTTCTGGCTAGCAGAGACTGATGTGGATCCAAAGGACTCTCTGTCAATGTTACTGGCTATTGCAGATACTGAGGAGCTCCTAATTCACAGCCAGCACCAAGAAGATAAGCAAGATGCATTAAAATAATCCAAAAGTTTCATTAGATACAGACCATCTCCTCAAGAAAGCTAGTGAAAGAGGAAGAGCTCTCTAATTTAGCAGACTCAGAGCTTCATGCTTGAGAAAAGTCATTAAAAAATATCAGTACAATGAAGAGGTACAATGCTTTTCAATAGGAATTTGCCTCTCAGTCCTGATTGGGAATTTCATATCTTCCCTTTTATTCCCCCCAGCCCCCAAGTAACAACTGTATGGCTGCCTGTGGCATAACAAGTGCAATTAACTTCTTTGCCTAGTATCAAATGCAATCCCAGCAATGCTACACACCCTCCTTCACCTGTCACTTTGTTCAGGAAGTTCTTCCCCTGGGGCAATTTTAATATCATATTTCTAATGGGCAGTGTCAGATTTGATCTCACAGATTTTGATTAATCTGCAACTCTTCCAAAATCCTGTGCCCTTCCCCAAGGGACAAATTAAGGATACACCTCACCTCTATTGATTAGAAAGGTGACTCTGAAACTCTTCTTTGTAGGAAGGAAGGACTTCTGAAAAAACATAAAAATTGGTTATAGGGTATTTTTTCAGAAATGTTCAGGAGATCAGGGCAGAGGTGGTCAATGAAAGATTAGTCTGTGGGAAAGCAATAAAAACAGGCTTCTGTAAACCCAGACAAATGGGATGGATAAAAAGAGCAATTCAGAATATTATAGTGTGTATCAAATAAGGAATAACTGTCAGATGACTTCATTAATTGGCTAAGTAGTGGCTAGTAATGCTTGACATAAAATGGTACATGTAGGCATAGAATCATAGAATCATAGAATCATTTAGGTTGGAAAAGACCCTTAAGATCATCGAGTCCAACCGTTAAACTAACACTATGAAGTCCACCGTTAAACCATGTCCCTAAGCACCGCATCTACACGTCTTTTAAATACCTCCAGGGATGGGGACTCAACCACTTCCCTGGGCAGCCTGTTTCAATGCTTGACAACCCTTTCGGTGAAGAAATTTTTCCTAATATCCAATCTAAACCTCCCCTGGCGCAGCTTGAGGCCATTTCCTCTTGTCCTATCACTTGCTACTTGGGAGAAGAGACTGACACCCACCTTGCTACAACCTCCTTTCAGGTAGTTGTAGAGAGCAATAAGGTCTC